TATCTAATGTAGTGAAGCTACAAGTTCTAAACGGAAACAATAGAATTAGTGACCAAAAGAAACTGTGTGATATGCGGGACTTTTCTTGAAAAGTTCATAGGTGGCCGGTTTTATTTAGTATCTTCTTGCTGATGTATGGTTAAACATAGTGTTACTTTTTCATGGACAGTTCTCAATCTTTGGATCTTTAGCAAATGTTGGTGCAATGGTTGGCGCAATTGCAAGCGGTCAAATATCAGAATACATTGGACGAAAAGGGGTATAATTCTAAGGCACTTTCAACTGTTTAGTCTTGTATTCTTAATGCCACAACCTTTCCTTCGCATTTCTGCAAAAAAAAAGAAACAAAAAGTTTTCACTCATCAAATCTGTGAGCTACATGTCATCGAAGGAGCAACTCTACCATTGCTCTAAAACTCACCTCAAAAGTAGTTCAACACTATTATAATCTTGTATTTTTCTTTCTTTGGTTCTTTAGTAACTTTCCCAGTTACCTCATCTTCTCTCTGAAATACAGACTCTAATGATTGCATCAATTCCTAATATTATTGGATGGCTTGCCGTTTCATTTGCCACTGTAAGTGATTAGTTGTTATCTCTTGCACATTCTGATTGAATCTGCAATTTTATAGGTAATTAACTTGACCATACATGCCCTTTTCCCACTTTTAACAGGATGTCTCATTTTTGTATATGGGAAGGCTGTTGGAAGGCTTTGGTGTCGGCATTATTTCCTATGTGGTAATCTTAAGTGTTCAACTTCTGTACTTGTTCTTCTTGAAGTTATGGTTAATAGTCCTGCTTGCTGAATCTTCTTGCTTGTTATCTGCAGGTGCCTGTATATATAGCAGAGATTTCACCTAAAAACATGAGGGGAGTTCTTGGATCCATTAACCAGGTTGGTTTTGTATTGGGATTTACAGATATCCCTGGTCACTCAATCCTATAGGTTTTATGATCTATAGATATAAATGGCTCATTTTTAATTAAAAAAATAAATAATTTGATCTCTTGGCATTAGCTCTCTGTAACAGTGGGGATTATGCTGGTATATCTTTTGGGATTATTTGTAAGCTGGAGAGTGCTTGCTGTTATAGGTGAGAAATACAGTCTTCCTTGTTAAAATTAGCTTAATTGCAATAGGTTCCCTAACCATTTGGTGATTGACAAACTGATTAACTTCTCTATTCTTAAGATGGTAGAGTTAGTAGGAATTTTTTTTATCAAGTAAGCATTTGACGACGTTCATCTTGCTGAAACAAGTTTTTCATCTTTCTAAAATTCCCCTTCCTTCTTGAAATATTTGAAGTTATTCTTCATTGCAAGTTCATTGAAGCAACTCAAAAACATTGAATGAGCTGATGTCTTTCTGTTATAATGTGAAGTCACTTGTATACTTGATTTTGAACATATTTATTAATAATCCTTTATGTCACTCTGCAGGAATGTTGCCATGCATGGTTTTGATACCTGGTCTATTTTTTATACCTGAATCTCCTCGTTGGTTGGTATGAGTTCCAAACTTATGTTTGTCACAACTAGATTTGCATTGTTATATTATACTGATGTTAATGCTGTATTATTTAGGCTAAAAATGGGCTGAATGAAGATTTTGAAACTTCTTTGCAAGTTCTACGGGGATTTGACACAGATATATCCTCAGAAGTGAATGAGATCAAGGTAATATGTGGAATGTGTTAAATGATGATTTCTCAACTATTTTGAACCCTCAAATTGCACTGTAGAAACTTCTTGCAATGCAAACTACTAAAAATGTGTTCATCATCATTTGTTTCTCCTGTCCTTGTCTCAGAAATCTGTGAGATCTTCAACTAAAAAAGTTACCATTCGGTTTTCTGAGCTTAAGATACGGCGATATTACTACCCTTTGCTGGTACACATTTGTGTTGGATTCCTTAATTATGCTGATTTATGTCTGGTATCCTTGACTAGACAAGGACTTTGAAATGAAACCCCCTACTCTTGTCAAGACTCATTTTATCGGCTGATTTTATTCAGGTAGGTATTGGACTACTCGCACTCCAGCAACTCAGTGGAATTAATGGTGTTTTATTCTATTCCAGTAACATCTTCAAATCAGCTGGTCAGTTCCGTTCCTTGATTGTCTATAGAAATGCATACCTGAATCATCAAATGATTTGAAACTGGCAGTTACAAGTATTATTGTGTCATTCTTTTTGTTCTTTACTCTGGCTGGTAGAAACAGAGGAAAGTAACACTCTGGATAGCAGAAATGGGAAAAAGAATTCCACGTTTTGCATGAAGAGTACAATGAATTTCTTCCTCTGCATCCTAGATAACACCCTGCAATAAATATGGGATGATGAAGACTTCGTTTTGTGGGAGGGGGGAGAGTACAAAAGACAAAGTTTGAAGTTTTGAACTATCAACTTACTCCATCTCAAAAAGAAACTATTAACTTGTTAATAAGAAAAGTGTTAAAGCTATTAACTGTAAAGGAACCGTAGATCACCTGGTATGATCAAGCCCACCTTTAAGGTACTCTTGAAAGCAAAAACAATAAGTTGACTAAGCACAATAAACAGTTTCTTTTTAAGTTGTTTTGAATTTTTATTTTGATGTTTGTGAAAATGAAGTTTTGATATTTATGTCCTTTTTAAATTCCTTCCAGTACTTCTTGCTTTTGCTTGAACGTATGCCTGGAAAATCTGCTTGATGGAAATTGATATGGAACTTAGCCATCTAGGTCTGTTATTTCATGAGTGTCCATTCGAATATGCCATGCCTTTTGAACTATTCATTTTCTTTTTGTTGGTACCTGAGAAATGATTCCCATGTTGTGTGCCACAGTCCTTACTCAGCTATCACTCAGTAAATAGCTTAAAATTGTGAAGTGCCATCTGTGATGATCTCTCAATCTAAAGATAATATACCATTATCCAGATTCACATACACTGCAGTGCCAAAAGGTAATATGCCATTAACCAGATCGACTTATACTACTATTTGGGAAAACAGCTTTACCAAACACCAGCTAGAGACTTGTATATTCATTCATGACCCAACCATGTTGTAGCATGATATCCACCTTGAACATAAATTTTGATTACATTGTCAGCAAGAGGTGATGAATTGGAGAATTAGACAACAAAAAGTCGGGACCATATCTGATATCAGGATGAAGTTTTTGTAGTGGATTCAAGTAAAATAGGCAAGTTACTACGAACTGTTATCTTAATTCTACATTATGGCGTGCAGTTTCCCACTCTTAGAAGGTATCACGTGCCTTCTCTTTATTTGCCAAATTAATTCCAGGTGTATCAGAATTAGACTGTATGCATAATACCACCTAGTCATAGAGACACTATGAAATGTTACAACTGGTTTGACATAGGAGTTTAATTGCAATGCTCTTCAAATTTGCAGGAATATCATCCAGTAAAGCAGCAACATTTGGTATCGGGGCTATTCAGGTAAGCCAGTTCCCTTGGATCTAATGTTAGTTTATATGTATATATTATTCCAAGTTAATAAACATCTTTTATAGGTCATTGTCACTGGTATCTCTGCATCACTGGTGGACAAGGCAGGACGCAGGCTACTCCTCATTGTGAGTCCTTCCAGAAATTTCACATGCAGTTTCTATTTGCTGAAAAAGAAAACAAATGGATAACTTGATTATACTCTTTTCTTTAGGTATCCTCATCTGTAATGACTGCTAGCAGCTTGCTTGTTGCAATGTCATTCTTCCTGAAGGTCAGTTGCATTTACATTCATAATAATTGATCAAGCAATTTTCTGAATTTAATGAGATCTCTTTCTTCGTGTTGGGATTGACTTTCTTTTATTGTCACTCCACAAACTTTTTCTACTCAACCCAGGAGTTCACCCCTGAAAATTGGCATTCATTCTTTGCAGTATTGTCTCTGGTTGGACTTGTGGTATAGTTCCTGTCTTACCTTCTATTGTTCCAACCCTACTATCCCCCCCCCCCCCCCCCCCTGCTCTCATCCCTGTTCTATTGTTGCATTCTGGCATATCTGAAACCCTTTACGTATTAATTTTTACAGGCCTTGGTGATGGCATTTGGTGTAGGATTGGGATCCATACCTTGGATCATAATGTCTGAGGTATAACAAAGCTAATCTATAGTTCAGGAGACCAGGAAAAATATATTTTCCTAAACATAATTAAAAATAGAACATAGATAAAACTTGTAACATTCTCAGGAGAACGTGGTTGAGAAATTTGAGGAAAACTAACATATAGAATCACCCCTGTTAAAGGTGATGATGTTAGTTTTAAAGGAAGATCAAGCATTATTGCAGGTTTCTTTAACATATTAAGTAACTGCCAGGACAGATTTTTGGTTCAAACTTTCTTCCTAGAAAATATTCTTACTGAACTTGAGATGTTCTTCAAGGACACTAGCATAGGTTTTATGATTCTCTTTATTTTTGGGGATTCAAGAGCCTCACTGCTCTAATAAATAGCCCTATTGCATGACAATAAAATCAGTGTTCTGTTTACCATCTCTTGAGGCATCAAGTTTTTAATTGGTTGTGCAGATTCTGCCTGTAAGCATCAAAAGTCTGGGTGGCAGTGTTGCAACTTTGGCCAATTGGTTTTCAGCATGGATTGTTACAGTGACAGCAAATTTGCTTTTAACTTGGAGTAAAGGAGGTTTCTCTCTCTCTCTCTCCGTTTCTCTATTGGTATTCGCACCATGCTTGGAGTGACTCTAAAGACTGTAAATTTGGCAGGAACATTCGCTATCTATGCACTGGTATCAGCTTTTACGGTGGTTTTTGTGAGGCTTTGGGTTCCAGAAACCAAAGGAAAAACACTGGAAGAAATTCAGCAGTCCTTCAGATGATACAAAATAAAATTGCAGTAAGATGAGTAAATGGAACAAGTGATGCAATTCCAGCCTGACTGAAAACTTGTTTTGTTCCACTTTACCATGTACCACTATATGTTGTCTTGTCCAAGAAGTTCTTCTCGTGTACTGCTAGTGCTTATGGAGCTAACATCTGCAATTTGCAATACATATTTGTATATATTTGTTTAAGACAACAATTTCAAATTTTGAACCCAAATTACATAGTAACTAATATTACAGAGGAAACACATAGTTGTTTTCCTTTTCATAGACAAAAAGTTGCATGATATTACGATAGTGAACTTTGCAGTACTGTCCTTCACTTTTGGGCTTTTTCTGCATGCAGGGATGTAAGGAACTGCTTGAGACACTTGTTATAAACGCAAGGTCGTTCTAGGTGAACCAGATGGCCTGCCTTGTTTATGCCATGAAATGTAGTCTTCTCACCCAGTTGACTGTCATCAAGTAATGCAAAACAATCATCAGGTTTATTCAAATTCTCTGTGGCACTTGTATTAAATTATTATTGATGTAGTAGTTTGAATTATATACACGGGTCATATATCAAAATGGTCCATTACTGAACGACTTATTACTATAACTTCTATGTAAATAAGTTTCTGATGTGAGATCTTGTATACTACTCTTGGAGGTCATATGCTTGTTTGAGTTTATAATGTAAGGGCATGTCAAGCCTGAAAACTTACTGTTTCATGTTCTGAGCAAGCTCCAAATTGAAAATTTGATCATTCTCACCCCAGAGGAGATGTATTCTCTGTCAAAAAAAATATATATATATGGAAAAAGCACTCGATATGTTTCCTAGTTCTTTGTGTGAAATATTGAAGAGTAGAACTCGTGATATTCCAATTACCTGTGGAAAATTTGGAATAGTTGTGTCTTTGTTGCTCACCACCAAGCCTTCTAGCAGCTCTCCTCTTTCCTTTCTGTTGGTGAACATTACCTGACATATCGTCAAGTGAGGGAATAAGATCCTTTGCTTCGGTTAAAACTTTACATTTTAGATATGAATCACAACGATGACATCAATGTTGTTTCATACTAGTATTAATATAAATACAAAAATTCCTCCCCATGATTATATATCTTTATCTCACCAAGCTATGATTTTACTCTTTTAATCTTATCGAAAGAAACTTGAGAGACATTCAAGAATTTGGTTAAGAAACTTCGAATTTCATTTGTCTTGCACTAACGGGTTAGAAATTGACGAAGTGACTGAAATGGGCTTTTAGTCACTTTTGTTTATTCAAGTCATTGGCATATATATGTATGAATTTTTTTGAATTAATATCTCAGATGGTTACTTAACTTTGAGTTGATCACTTAGAAAATTTCTCAACTTTGAGTTGTTCACTTAGAAAGTCACTTAGCTTTGTTTTATAACTCAAAAATAATTCAACTATTGGTGTTTTACTTACAAAGTCATCCAACTATTGATATTTCACTTAGAAAGTCACCCAATCAATTTAAATATTTTTTCATTAATTTTATTTTAAACTACTTTTACTATTTTTTAAAGAAATAATAAGATGTCTATTTTAATTATCTTATTGACCCACTTCAATTATTTAATTATAGTTTTTCTGAAAAAATGTAAAACAATTAACCCAAAAAAAAAAAACATTTCCGTTCTAGTAATTGTATGACTGGAATTAAATATGTTAAAAAAATTATCTAAAAAATAGGAGGTTGAAATCGATAAGAAGTAATAAGAAAAGCACATAGTAGCAAGTCTTTTACTATTTTAAAACAAAAATAGGCAAAAACAAAAACTATATTTCAACAAAATTCAATTAAATAATTAAAATAAACATCTTCTTATTTTTCTTTAAAAAATAGTTTAATTATTTTTTATATTTTTACAAAATTTATTGAAAACATTATTTAAATTGATTGAGTACTTTTCAAGTGAAATATCAATAGTTTAGTGACTTTCTAGGTGAAACACTAATAGTTGAGTGACTTTTGAGTTATAAAACAAAGTTGAGTGACTTTCTAAGTGAACAACTCAAAGTTGAGTGATCATCTGAGATATTAACTCAATTTTTATTTTTTTTAATATCAGCACTTTTGATATGTCGATAAAAAAAGAAGAAGATAGTTGGTCGTAAAACGGTAAAAGCGGTTAGGTGTAGTTGGTTGAGCAAACTGGCAGTGATATCAAGAATGAAACATATGGCTGGATGCCATGTGTAATAATGAACTCAGAGATTATGCACGTCTACGTTGTGTCCCCCTTTTTTTTTCCTTCTTTGTTGACAAATGTGTAAAATGTTGCAAATCTTCAAGTTATGGCCTTGTGGGAAAATGTATGCCATAATTTCGTCAACTTATTAATGAATTCAATTTGGCTTACAGTCTCTCCTCTCTTATTTTCTCCGTTTTCCCCTTTTGTTGGCAAAGAAAAATAGTTAAAGACTTCTACTGTTGTATATAATGATGCCTCTACCAAACTTTCAAAGTATGAACAATTTGTTTGCCATTAACTGATTCAGTGGAGAGCATTAAAGCCACACGTAATTATACTGTGACAACAAACTAACTAACTACTGTAATTAAATTACAGATTTATATTTTGTACATTGATAAACATGAAGAATTCAAGTCCGAATTTACATGAAAAATTAAGTATTTTGATTCTCATGATGGATTGTGACTTTTGTTATATTCATGCAAAGAAAAGAAAATGAATAATTGATAAATAAACTAAACTAACCTCGAGAAAATCTCTATGAAGACGATCAGGGAACCAAAGCTTCTTATAAGCAGCCACTTTTAGCAGGGCCTTAAGACCCTTAACAGAAGTAGGCAGCAGCAGCTCCGACGAAGACGAAAATCCCAAACCATTAAGCGTCGTAGTGCTAATCGAATCAGTCATCGCCAATATCGATCCAGACACCACCAACGCCTCAACTAAATCTGGAAACATCTCCGCCATCTTAAACGCTACCATTCCTCCATAACTAAATCCAACCACTACGCAATTCTCCACGCCTAATTTCCTTAACCCTTTTCCCAAACACTCTGCTTGAAAACCCGGCGATCTATCGGAACTATCCGTAACTGATCCGCCGAAGAAAAGTAGGTCCGGTACATAAACAGAGTATTTTTTAGTTAATGCACCGATTTGAAATTGCCACGTCACTATTCCTTCGCCGGCGAAGCCGTGGATTAGTACGACTACGGGTTTGTTCGGGTCGGGTTCGGTGGTGGATTCAGGGGAAATAGCACATTGATTGTTGGAGAGAGGAGTAGTGGTTGTGATTTTTTTTGTTTTTCTTTGTTTTTTGAATTATAGTTTCAGAAGGAACCCAAAAATTCATAATTGTGCCTGGTTCTATCTCTATACTATGAGGTCTGATTCCAGCTAATTTCATTAGGCCATGTAACAATGGCTTCTGTGCTTCTACCAAGTTCACCATCTCTTTTGAAGAAAAATGTAATTTCTTGTGTGTATGGAGGAATTAAGGAGAGAGGTGAAGTGGAAGAGATGAGAGGAAGGAGGGGATTTTTAAAGTAAGGGTTAGGTGTTGAGTTGTTATCTGTTGTTCGTCATTAAATGTAACAAAACTTATATTATACAAAATTCAATGACCAAAGAAGATGCAGTTGGTATATATAGTTGCATCTACTTCTAGATTGATGCTATAATTCTATTCTTAAGTGCATCTCTGTGAACTAGTTGACGTACTTGTATCATCTTCTTATACAGTAAACGACTAATAAACAACCCCAACCCCCACAAACCAAAACAAGAAAGAAACAGAGGACCACTACTAGCTCCGCCCTGTGAAAAGTCTCTTTATTATGAGTCGAACAATCGTCACCTTAGAATTAGACCCAAAATTCTTTTTTTATTTTATTACCAAGCATTTTAGAATATAATAAGTCAGTCGCAACTGGCCCATATAGTTGCCTCTAAAAAGGCCCTAAAACCCCTATCTTTTGTGGTGAATGGTGACCAATTGAATTTCCAATAGTGATCGTATTTCTTCTATTGGACATTTTTTTGTTTTCGACGTTCGGTATTTGTATTTCAAGTGACTCCCTAATAAAGAAGATCTCATACTGCAGAGCTTGTTGGTTTACTCCAATAGAGCTCAAACCTAAAACTTATGTTTAAAAATAGACATGACGATGAAGTACTTATCATTTCACCGTAATTTTTGTCGGTAATTGCATGCTGTGAACATTGCGTATTTGTCTTGCTATGATAGCATATAATTATGATGAATATTATATTGCAAGTTGAAATAAGGCTGTTGCCGCAATTCACGTTTAATAAGAACAAAATATATGATATTGTCAAGTGACAACCATATATAGTAGGTAGTTCAATGAAGAGGGCCTTTTGACTTCAATTATATTATTAAGTGAAGTCTCATTCATTTTAGCTAACAAGTTTATCTTGCATTAAATGAGGTGAACTACTTCATGATAAAACTTGAATTTACCTTAGAATTTATCAAATTACTCCTAATTCTTACCTCTAAATTAGATACTTTCTCTTCTTCAAATCTAGCTGTATATGACTATCAACTCTTGATCTACCATGCTACTATATTTTGGTCTAACATCCAATTCAAGTTCACATATTTTTTCTTGAGCTGGTTAAGAGTGATAGTGGAACTATTTATCATCAAACCTCTACTAGGTCTTCATATACTTTTTAAAAAAAAAAAAATATCTACCAATTTGACATAAGAAAAATATTATTGTTACGGTGCAGTAATCATGGAACTTATGCTATTTGCCGACGTACGTACTTGTCCCATTTTTTGAGTCAATTGGAAGGCGTACAATTTATGTAGAACGTAGGATATATGCATGTGTCTACTCGCTTAATTTTAGATAAATTTAAGTATCTACTGTAGCACACCTAAAATTGAAGAGTATAGATGTTATCAGACATCAGCTATGACCAAGTTAGAGAACATGTTTGTGTATTATGTCTATACATATAAATCTATACGCTTAGTTGAATGGGACATGTATATGTTGATTAAATGGGACATACAGATGTTGAAAGAGACTTCTAATGCAAGTATAAATTATGATCATTTGCCGAGAGAAAGTGAAGCTGAATCTTGTTGATGAAAACTGTCACGATTTAATGCTTATACGCTTCAACCTACTTTTTGCACACCTCCCTACCAATACATATAATAATAATAATAATAATAATATATTAGTATATCTTATTTTCAAGATTTCATATTCTACGATAAAAATGTTTATCTACGAATATCCATTGAATGACTTCATACAACGATAGTAAAAAAAATGTTTAATTTACACCGACGATTCTGTGTAAAACATATAGTAGTAAATCCATAAAATAAACGTACCAAGAAAATTATCACTTTTTAGTCTATTTGACAGAATCTAATTAGAGATTTGTTTAAGCCTTGGAAGAAACCTGAAAGCAATTAGCCATGTAGCAATTGAAGTACTTCCTTCAATTATTAAGCTGTGGTACGTAAAAATATATCATGAGTAGATTGATTAAGAAAAATTAAGGAACATTTTTTAATGGTACACTTGGACAAATAGTTTCAAGATCATGATTAATTAATTGGGGATTTTCTTGCACGTCATTTTACATATGGGGTCAGTTTACTGTTGAACAATTTATTATTAATTGATGCTGATTAATTATTTGTCTTCCTATACAATACAAAGTTTGTTTAAATTTTGATCAACCACACTGCCTACTTCCGACCCACATGCACCGATCCCTTTCATTTGTGTAGACTTTTTTTTGGGGTATAAGACGATAATTAAAGCAGTGTGACTATACGAGAAATGTGTATACACGTTAGGGGTCGTTTGGTAGAGTGTATTAGGAAAAATAACGCATGCATTAGCACTGTGTATTACTAATACCTTGTTTGGTACTCTTTTCCAACCTATGTATAACTAATGCTTGCATTAGTTATACACTCTATTGTGTATTAAAGTGTGTATTGCTAATACCATGGATTTCTAGGTATTAGCAATGCAATGGTTTTAATGCATGCATTAGATTAACTAATGACAAAACTATCCTCTATTAATAATAATAATAATAATAATAATAATAATAATAATAATAATTAATTATAATTATTATTATAATAATAATTATTATTATTATTATTATTATATTATTATTATTATTATTATAATTATTATTATTATTATTAATTATAATTATTATAAATAATAATAATTATTATAATAATAATAATTATTATTTATTTTTTTGTAAAAGAATGTGGGGATATTTTTGTAAACAAATATTTTTTAATAGTCTTTATACAAGGCTTGCTATTTCCAATACATCAAACCAAACAATGTATAAGAAATAATGCAAGCATAACTAATGCAAGCATTACTAATGCTTGCATTACTAATGCATGCACTACTAATACATCATATTCAATATTATTCTTATACACTCTACCAAACGACCCCTTAATGTATTGTGCATGACGACTTTTCTGTCTACCTAGCTAGCTAGCTTCACAATCAATGATAAATAGCATTTTTATTGACTTGTTTTATTTTAGGTGACTTGAATTTGATTTGAAGTTTGTGTAATATTCCAGTGATTTCAAATTTGGGTAGTGTATTTACCACTGTCTTAAGGATAGGATGAGATAGAGAAGTTGTTTTCGAATAAAGACCCTCGACTCAAAAAAAAAAAAACTTATAAGTATTATGATATACAACCTAACTGTACTTTTGAATTACTCATGAACCATATCGAATATTTATAAGAGAAAATTGTATATAATAGCAAATTATTAATTCAAATTAAATTATATAAATATAGTTTGATTTAATTGTACCTCATAGCAAACTGTTACTATTTCACCTCTTTCCTATTGAATCTCGCTCGCCACTCTCGTTCTCTCCCTCCCCTCTCTCATTTTTATACAAATGCAAGTGTATAAAGTGCGTTTGTGTTTGTATAAAGTGAGAGAAAATTGTATATATACCTATATTTTCGTTCCCATCTCTCCCCTCTCTCAGATCTCGCTCTCTCACTTTATATAAAAAACGCAAATTGTATAAATGCGTTTGTGTTTGTATAAAGCGAGAGAAAATTGTATATATACATATATTTTCGTTCCCCTCTCTCCCCTCTCCCAGATCTCGTTCGCCACTCTCCCAGATCTCGCTCGCTCACTCGTCTCTCTCACTTTATACAATTGATCTTTTTGTATATGTATACCAAAGCAGATTATACATCTGCTTTCTTTTGTATATGTATAGCGAAATATACATATTTATGTTTGCTATGGAGTGCAATTATGCAAACTTTGCTATAACATACAAATATAAATTTTGTATTTGCTATATGTGAAAATTGCTCTATTTATAACTATCTACATATATAATCATGAAAGCAATTTCCTTGTTCATGCCAAAGTTATGGGCTTCAGTAGTAAGATGGCCAGGTCATTTCGTCTGCTCCGTGGGCCATTTAAATGGATCAACACTACAAGCCCAACCTTCATTTCAACTGATACTAGAATATTAGTCCGTCATTTTCAATTAAAATATTTTGAGCAGCTTTCACATTTAGCAAACATAAAAATCATATTTGTCTGTTTTAGCTATAGTTTGCTTAATTACGCTCCATAACAAATTTTATGTTTGCTATAGAGCATCAGATTGTATAAATCGCTGGGGGCATCAGATTTGTATAAAATCGTTGGTAGCCTCTCATTTGTATAAATCACTGGCAATCTTTCGTTTGTATAAATCGTTGGCAGCCTCTCAATTCAATTTTATGTGTTTGTATATCTGCATAAATTTTGAATTTATATACAATTAAATCGAAATAAAATGTTTGTATATCAAATATCTCTCTCTCGCCTTATACAAATACAAATTATACATTGTATTTTGTATAATCTATGTTTGTATAAAGTGAGAAAGAAAGAAAGACAAAAGAGAACTGGATAGGGAAAGATTTGTATTATATAATTATAAGTGTATAGGACGAAGATATATATGTATTTGCATGTATACATATAATTTTCTTTCGCTTTATACAAACATAAACACAATTTATACATTTGTGTTTGTATAAAATAAGAGAGGCGAGGGAGAAACTGGCGAGTGAGAATTTCAGGGAGAGAGGCGATTGACAACAGTTTGCTACGGGTTACAATTAAAGCAAACTGTGGTTATAACATTTAATTTGAATTAATAATTTGCTATTATATACAATTTCCCCTTTTTGAGTTTGTATACAATGTATTTATTTTCTATCCAATAGCTTTCCATATGATTAATATCCCCATAATCTGGCAATTAACAGAAGGAATAAATGAAACAGAGTAGCCATGGACATAAAAAAACGAAAAAGTTGAGCTCTTTACATGACGTTTCATTTGTCTCATATGATAATGTGAAAATTTCATTACTTGAAATAGGGCTAGAGCCAGGTTGGAGCAAAGAGTTCATTTGAATTTTCTTGAAAAATTATATCGTGTATATAAAGTTAAAATTATTTTTTTATTTATGTAATAAATATTGAATTTTCTCGATTTATTTGCGTATTTACTTTTTAATATTTTGAACCATTTTGTGAAAAAAAATAAAATCTAATTCTGCCACTCAAGAGTTTGATGAAAGCTCAAAGAAGTTGCCAGAGAAGTTTAGCAGAGCACAACGAGCGAACTCCAATAAATAATGTTGGGGTTTGAAAATTAACGGTTTAAGCATGTCGAAGAATGAAAAAGTCTCATGTTTCTTAAAAGTGGTTATTTCTAATTTATATTTTAAATGGTGGTAAATAGGCAGTCCCAAAACTAGCCATTACACACCTAATTTTTGCTAGATTTCTCCTTCACTTTGTATGTCTTCCACATGGTAAACTTATCTTCAACCAAATCTTGAAGACCCAATAGTAAATTGAAATTTATCTGTTTCAATTTATACGACATAAATATCTCTTAACTTTCTTTTAATTATAATTTTTTTGTGAAAAAATAATCATGCCTAGATAAATTTAGACACAAATTAAAAGCCGTAATTAACCGTATTTCAGGCACCCGAAAAAGCCAAAATGGAACATCACATCTTGCAATGCATACATACAGAGAGCCCTTTAGTTTTCTGTTACAGCTAAACACTGCAATTTCATTTCCATGTTCTTCAGGACCATGCCGTGCTCAGTGTTCTGTCCTGTTGCACTCCAAACGAAAAGAAAAAAATTAAAGGAAACCGTATCGCAGTTTTTCATTTCAATTTATATGACACTATTTGACTTGACACACAATTTGTATGACTATAAATCATTTCATTAACTATAAAAATAGAATTTTAAAATTAAAATGTTCCCAATTATTCAAAGGTTACATAGACAGATTAAAAGAAAAGTATGTCACATGAATTAAAACATATAGAGTAACTGTTACCGAAATAATCAGCTCAGTCATAGTTAACTCAAACACGGATTGAAACTAATATTTCAGTTGTGGCCCAGAATGAAATGAACTACTCGTACTAATTAATTAATAAATTAGGGGCGGAACAAGGTGCAGGGTGTAAGATTACCCTATATATCTAAGGTTAAAATTTTATTTTTATGTTATATATAATAAATGTTTTTCTAAATGCATTTTCGCCATATGGTCGCTTGTCCGTATATATAATAAATGTTAAATCTCTTTTATCTTCTTTGTATGTTTACTTTCTCTATATTTTGAACTTGTTAACAAAATTCTGGCTCTGCCACAGCTAGTAATGCAGGCATGCAGCAATAGTGTAGCAATAATTCTGGTGACACATAGAAAGCTCAAAGCTAAAAAGAGAGACTGTTTCAGAATTTGCCGGCAGCATAAACAGCAGAAAACTTTCAGTTGATAAAGAGAGAAGTGTTGGTGGATCATCATATTCAAGAAAGTGTAAATTATATGGATGACGAGGACTAACAGAGAAAAAGTGATGAGTCTCAAAAGTAATATATATATATGACTGATCATCATCAAAGTGAAAAGTTAAAGATACTAGGAGTAATGTATATAACAACTAGTCCCCAAAAGGAGGGGAAAAAGCCAAGAAACATGAAAACATTAGAATTAACTCATTTTCACTCCATCTCTATATGAAAGACGATGGACCAAAAAAAGAAAACATCAGTAAAAGATAAAGAATTTCTTCAACCATAGCCCACCATCATCATGACACGTCATCAATTGGCCTCATCTCCCGTTTTAATTTTTTCTTCTCTTGAAATTAATTAAACCTTGATCCTACTTTTAATTTTAAAAAATTCATCTAGTAAAGTCATGAACAAGGCTAGGCCTATCAGCAACATTGAGACGCCAAGGAAAGAACGGGATGCCGGTGGCCGTAGCATCGGAGTCACGGTGATGTTCATTATCCTCAATGAACCTGAACTGACCATTTCCATAACTAGCTGAAGAGAAACAAGGCATTTTTGTAGGCTGTGAATGGTGATGATGATGAACCCAGTGTTTATGCGTCGTCGTTTCCATTCCCCCTCCACCGTTAGCCGTCGCTGTTGCTGCACTCGCTCTTCTCTCTTCCTTCTTAAAACGAATTCCACACGCATTGCAAAGTGACTGCAAAAACGTTATAACCATCAAAAAAAAAAAAAATGAATCTTACTTGTTCATGAACATATATTGATCAATTTTTATACAATGTAAATATAAATAATTATCATTCAAAAAATATACCTTAGGTCCTCTAGGGCCATTTCTCCATAGAGGTGTAGAAGTGGTGTCACAGTTAGCACAGCGGCGAGCAACAAGGGGATCAGTAGTAGAGTTGTTGTTGGGAGCACGAGTGGACTTGTATTGAGCGGAAGGAGGAGTAGTAAGATGTTGTTTGGGGTGAAGAATATCCCAGAAATTGGACATGCAGTTAGAGGAAGAACGACGACGTTCATGATTATTAGAGTAAACTGATGATCTCTTTTCATGATTGTCGTCATTGATAAGGCGAGTAGAAGGAGTTCCTAAGGAAAGAGTACAATCGACAGATGAAGGAGCAAAACAGTACATGTTTTCCGAATATTCATCGGGGAAGAGCATTGAGAATGCAGATGAAGAAGTAGTAGTATTAGTGCCGGTTTGGTTATGAAACAGACCGCATGAACATGGACCAACCATACTCCCACTACAACGATGCATCATTTTTTTTCTACTTCTTCAAATTGGCAAGGAGTTTATAGAGGACAAGAGGCCAAAGAAAGGGGGTAAAGAAGTAATAATAGAAGGTTTGAATTGTATTAACTAGAGACTAGAGAGAGTTTTGGGGTTTGTAGTATTGTCTGTTAGCTGATTTATATAAGTTCATAAAATGTCGAAATACTAGTCAGCAGGTGCAGGGTAGTCCACGTTGGTCGTCAAACGTCTGCTACAACGTTTCTTTGTTTGCAGAAAAAACTGCAGAGAGGTAGGGACCAGATGATCATGTGTTACATGATAGACTGTATGCTATTGATAAGCAAATGCCAAGTGGTCACTATATATAGTAATACATGAGTTATACTGCTAGTTCTCATGTGTTACGACTACTTTTTGTAATTTGATTTATGTATACTCTCTATGTATAATGTAGTAGAGTATATAGTAAGTGTAGAGTACGTAGCTAAGAAATGAATGGGTCATAACTCATTATTGTTAGTCAAAAGAGAACCCACGTGACAAGGGGGAACAGTCTTCCATGGATCTGCCTTCTCCGATCACGAGGCGACCTGTCTCAACTCTCAACTCAACACCCAATACTATTAACCCCTTGCTCTCCATATACCCCTACCCCCACCCCCACCTTTCTGCACTCTCCCTGCCACCCCAATCATACTGGAAATTAATTTTTTCTCCGTTTCAAATTATTTGTCAAACATATTTAACTCAAATTATTTGTCATTTTTCAAGTTCACAACAAAATCAATCATTACTTCTTCTATCTCATTTTATATGACTTACCTTTTTTTTAGTCAATCTCAAGAAAAAACGATACATTTCTATAGTATAATGATTTATAATCACACATATATCTATCACTTATTAGACCACGAGTTTTGAAAAGTTTTTATTTCTTATTTAAACTCGGGTTGAGAAAAACTAACTCATACTCCCTCCGTCCACAATTGTTTGTCAGGGTAAGGTCATGCACATCACTCAAGGAAAATTTAATACAAGGTGTAATTTGACTAATATAACCATACTATATCAAGAATACCAAAAGTTCACATAACTTTTCAATTGAACTACACAATCATTAAGGACAGAATTGGAAAAAAAGTTACTAATTATTTCTTGATTGTTTAAATTGACAATTAATCTTGGACATCTATTTATAGTATACCTGCCAAACAATTGTGGACGGAGGGAGTATAAAATAAGACGGGCAGAGTATTATGTTTCCTATCTTGTCCCTAGTAGTAATTGTTTTTAAACACTACAAACACTTTAATAAAGTAAATTAACATTTATCGGTAAAATAATTATATCTTAAGATGTAAATAGTAGTAAAAATAATATCTCCTAGATAATATTAAATCCGCTGTGACAAATCTTGAATCTGAATGTGCATCAAATGCAAGTCATGAGACTTGAGGTTTCTGGTTAGGTTGGGTCAGTGTAAGGTAGTGGTGTTTATAATTATGAACGAACAACGACCATACTTTATTAGTGCAATAGGCAGTCAAATCCATCAAGTTAGAGTAAGGAATATTGTAAGTGATTGATAAAAATATGATACTGGAGAGGAGTAAAAGTGGCTAATTACTGAGCATACACCACTCCTTTTTTCATCTTAAGGTGCAGAAAATAACAACAAGCAGTTTTAGGCATTGTCCAACATCACTAGTAAATTGGTCGTACTACCATGTATTCACGTGAACTGACTGAGAGAATCTATGAATGTTTTAGGTAATCTTGGTCTTCTTGTCATCATGATTATCTATCTATATCAACCACCCTTCACTCTTATTCTTCTCAATCCAATTTCCAACATTGATTTATTTTTACACACACCATATATAATTTTCTAGATTTGTTTCTAATAAGATTAATAATTGTCTGGATATAGAGTAACACAAAAGAATGATTCAGCTCTCGTTTTATTATATATTTTGAAGTTGAATCTAAGTCAAACATATATTTAAAGAAAAAAATTTAAAATTTATTCCCAAAGTCTATGGACAAATGCTAGAAAATAACTAGAGAGGACTGTTCAATAATTAATAAGCACCCTCAATCAATAATTATAAAATTATAAATTCGAGTTACAAATAAAACAAAAAATGGATAGAGTAACGAGGAGATGCATAGATTTAGTGTGGAGTAGACAAAAAGCGAGAAAGTGAAAAAGGGATGGGAATAGGAATCATGAAAATGAGATACTCTGCAATCATCAAAGCAACAAATGTTTGGAACATGACATAGAGAGCAAATCTTTGACTCAAAGATGCAAACTTAGTGTAGCTAAAAAGTACCCTCCGGATTTAATAATTTGTTTGAAAAGAAAGAAAAGGGGAAATGAAGCTAGATTTGGTGTGTTTGTTTAATAATTATGAAGAAAAAAAGTATGAGGGGGCCACCATGAATCACATATACTCATGATGAAATGTGATGGGGTCCAAAACCAAAAGAGAACAAAAACACCTCTGGAATATCAATTGGATTTGGGATTAAAAGATTCAAAATCCAAAGAACAAAGAGAGAGAGAGAGAGAGAATCAGATCATCTTGAGATTGGTGTCACCCTTAGTTCGACAAACGGGAAGACCAGAGACCAGACCAGACCCTCCACTTTCCAAAAGATGCTCTATCAACCCACCCCACCATGTTACTTCGATTTACACAATTTCATTACCCTCTCTACACTGCAAATCTTCTATTGAATTACCGATCGTGACGGAGTTAAAGATTTTTAGTAAGGGGTTTAAAAGTAAATATATGAACTAATTAAAGTGAGTTTAACGTTTACTATATATACATAAAAAAATAATTTTAACAATGTATATATAATAGTACTTTTTCTGTACCAATTTATGTGACTTACTTTCCTTTTTAGTCTGTCCCAAAAAAAATGATACATTTCTATAGTAAGTAACAATTTAACTATAAAATGTCTATTTTACTCTTAATGAAATGATTTATAGCCACACAAATTTCAATCATTCATTTTGAACCACAAGTTTTAAAAGTCTTCATTTCTCTCTAAAATTTCGTGTCGAATCAAACTACGTCACATAAAATAAAACGGATAAAGTAATATTTTTCTCCAAAGAGGATTTGAATGAACCCATAATAGTATGCTAGCTTCGCCTTTGATTACAAATAACGAATCAATGATCTCAAATGCCAATAAATATTCTGGCAATAAATGTGATGTGTTCTTTTTATTTTTTTATTTTTTATGTTTCTAGGAAAAATATAAATAAATTAAAACAAATATATGCTCCCTCGTCCAATAATAGTTGTTCATTATACTATTTTGGAATGTCCAACAATGATTGTCCGCTCTATGAAATCAATGAATAATTTACGCTTAGTTCCTAATTTACCCTTTATCATTAATTATAATTATTTCTCTATTATATTTTTTCAAGACATTATATTTATTATATTGAAAAGATGATATAATAAAATTACCTTTCTATTTATAGTTTCTTAAGAAATGTGTCAAATTAATAGTGAACAACTTTTGTTGATCGGTGAGAGTAATTTTTTACTCTACTAATCTTGAAAATTAATATGAGACCGTAGGATTTTTTAAAGTATTTTTTAATGAAACTCTCTACGTTTTGGTTAATGATGGAAACGAAACCCCCACGAATGCCGAGCACCATTAAATTTTCACATCGTTTAAGGATGACCAACAAATATACTCACGCTTCCCTTCATTAATTATACTCTCTGTGATGATGATGATTATGTTTACGTGGCTTGTTAGATTTTGTGGGCCCAGCCCTAACTTTGGGACCAATTTTCCAAATATATATTGCCTCTAATTATTATCGCATCTCATCTGCGTTGCTTTGCTGCTTAATACACTAACCCAATAAAGTGTTAATCATTACCCATTAATTCACGTACCACGCGGCCCTTTACATGCACTTATCAAACTCTCCATGCACATGCAAATTAGCTATAGCCAAGCCGACTATCATTGCCAAACTAAAGTCTCAATCTATAGTATCGGCAACACTAATTAATACTTTCTCCGTCTCATATTAGTTGATCATCTTACTAAAAATAGTTTATTATCTTACTAAATCAAGAAAACATTAATTATTTTTTTCTATATTACCCTTGCAATTAATTCTTTTTGAAAATGTTTACATTTTTTTGTAAAATTTCCATAAAAAATTTTAATGGGGGAATTAGTAAAATTATCTTCTTATTTATAATTTCTTAATATGCGCGTAAAAAGAAAATGACCAACTAATATGGAGTGGGGGGAGTAATTAAAAATAATGATTTAACTTAATATCACTGGTTAAATTACATTGATAACATAAAAAGTTATAGTATAAGTGTATATAATAACTCGGAGTCAATCGAACATAGAAAGTTAAAGTTATGTATGGGTCGGGTCCTAATTTACTTTAGTCGTGTATTAAAAATTCGCTAAAAAAGGTATAAATATTAAATTCAAAACTCAATTACAAACACGGTGTCACTATTTTAGTTCAAAACTTATAAAGTTTAAATTGATGTGATAAGAAATTCCAACTTAGTAGGTATATACACATATATGTCTTTTTAGTAAAGTTTTCAATACTATACATAAAGATCGATTGAGAGTAGAATGTAACTAATGTATTGTCATTGTCCATATATAGTTGTATTTGGTCTTGTTTAAATCCAAAATTCAAATGAACTATAAACACTTTTAAAAAAGAGAAAAAAAAGAAAGAAGTCATTCCTCAAAAGTCACATCTCATTTCGTCAGTCTCAATGCAGTCTCTTCTTTAAACTTTTAATGTGTATAGTTAGAGTAAGTTTAGTATAGGTCTATATATGTATAGATCATATATAGATGGAGTAAAGCAAAAGAAATTGGACAGATTCAAAAGAGAAATTAAAGATAGAGCAACTATTGATAGATCTATATAACTTATAAGTTGTTATATCATTAAAAAGTTTTTGAGTTTATAATACTTTATGGTCAAAAAATGA